TATTACCAAGACATCATACTCATCACTCTATCAAATCAGAAGTTCTCACTATTTTGTTGGCATATATATTTTTAAAGACACTCTTAACTTCGATTTATGCCTAGAATCGGCTAAATATTAGCTCTGATACCATTAAATATAACACCTCCAACCTGTACCTGACCCGTATACGATTCTGATGTGTCACATTGACTTTTCAAATACATTTTCTCTTACAAAATCATGGAAAAATTAAACTTTTCATTAAAATTAAAGTAAAATAATTTACATAAGTATAATCAAAATATTACAAAATCGATCAGAGCATGTGTGATTTAAACTTGATTACATGCCAACATAAATAATACAACAAAATGATATACTGTTTGAATTATTTTTGATATGATATTCTGTAAAATGTATGCTGCCTTGATGGATCCTAACTCTGATCTTCCTGCTTCTTGGTACCTACTTGTGAAACACTCACACGCTAAGTCACAGACTTAGTGAGGCATATAGTATACTAATGAAATACTTAAGTCATGAACATGCAATCCAATCATTTCAGTATGTAATCACAATCACCATATAACTACTCAATAATAATATATATAATAATGCATTTAACGAATAACAAAATGTCATCTTATCATAAAGGTAATTATTTTTATAACTTTTATGTGTCCATGTACATTATTGAGAACTTAAGGTTTGTGAGTACATTGAGGTTATGCACATATACTGTCACCACAGCTCATATAAATTTGCACTGAGTGCCATATAAAATTGTCCCGAATGACCTTATATATGTCCTGAAGGACCTCCTAGAACTCTTGACTCTTGGCATGTCAATTATACCCATAGCTCTCATATCACATAACATTGGCTTAAACATTTATATGTTCATATAGTCAACTAATTCATCACATATACATATACTCATATAACTTATATCACTTCTCATGTAATCACATATGTTCTATCTCATAACATATATCATATGTGCATATAATCACTTATCTCATATCATATAGCTTATTTTTTGTTATCTTATGTTCACATGGATCACATAACATATATCATAACATAGAAACATATTTCACTTATGCATATACTCATAATGATCATAACATATACATGTTCATAACTATTTAACCATGAAATCAGACATAGGAAATAGACTGATCACAAGTCTTGTTTACATAAAACAATATTTATACTATAGTATGCACTCACCTTAGCCTCGCTGAGTCCGATCAACTCCTATAACTTTTATTCATCTCTTGATCATTTCTAACTCTTCAATCGTTCCAGAACTTGCTTATGCTCGATATCTACACAATTATACATTTGATATGAATATCAGAATTCTAAGCATTATAATTCGTTCATAGTAACCTCAGCTAAAAGAAGTACTTAATTTAAATTTCCAATTTGAGTAATATTGGTACCCAAGGTATGGTACAGATACTTCCTTTATTGTGGCATAGATATTGTTCCTTAGTATCGATACCCTTTCCTGGTTCTGGAATTCTTTTTCAAAAATGGTATCGATACTCGCCTAATGGTATCGGTACCCTTGGTATCGATACTACCCTTTAGGTATCGATGCTCCTTGAATAACTTATCCAATTTTGGCTTATGGTATCGATATTGTTCAATCGGTATCGATACCCATACCCAAAATATCACTCGTTTCTCTTTGAAGTATCGATACTAGATGAATCAATACTGATACACCTAACACATAATTCACTCATTTAACCCAAAAATTTACCAGTACCAACCTAAACCTTTCATTTTTAACTCCTTTCATGCCATTAAACTTAACTACACTTACTCAAACCATCTTATATCCATATAACACATCATTATCTTCAAAATATCATCCTAATTCGTGAAACCAAGAATTTTACTAAATTTCCAACATGTTCTAATTTCATTTCTAACACTTTATACTTCTTATTCTAACTGATGACAAGTCAAATTTAATCTCGAAACTCACTTACTAACTCTTTTCCATAATTTCACTTAACCACCTATTATATTAAATCTTTTCTAACTCTTTCATCTTTTGGTTTTAAGACAACTTAAGCTTTCCTTAAGATTAAGTATTATCTAAAGAACATAAACCAAGCTTAAATTTAATAAATGATCAACAATCATGACACTCACCTTTTCTAAATGGGGTTCACAGCTGAAGGAGGAAGAAAGCTCTGGAAATCTTGATTTTTCCTTCCATAATCTCCATGTGGTTATAATATAACCATAACCAATTTTTTTAAAATTATTTTCCTTGTCAAATGACCATTTTTACCTTCCATTCCTCCTTTGCTATTCAATCCTACTTAAAAATATTCCACTTAAGTCTCTAAACTTTTAAATTTATATAATTTTAGTCACTACATTCTAAAATTTTACAATTCGAACACTAACCCTGTGTATGGGATGTTACAGGTTAAGTACATTAAGAAATATATATTGGTCAATGGATATTGATGGATGCATCATACCCTATGACAAGGAGATCAATATCGAATTTTTGCATCAAGCTTGAAAATTCTTTAATTTCCTGAAAATCAAAGAAGCAAGCTACAATTGCATGATCCTCAACAGAAGCTGAGTTTAGAAGCATGGTTGTGGTAGTAACTGAGGTTTATGGCTGAATGGATTAATGAATGAATTTGGGGTCTCAAATTAACAATTGATGTACCTCTATTGTGACAACAAAGCTTCACTTCATATTAGAACAAACAATGTTTATCATTAGTGTACCAAACACATAGAAATTAACTACCGCATTAGAGAAAAAATCTAGAAAGGCTTGATCAAAACTGAACATATTATCTTTGAAGAACAGTTAGCAGATGTGCTAACCAAAGCACTTGGCTCACAACATCACAAGCAACTAGTTTCTAAGTTAGGGGTTAAAGATATCTTTCACCCTCCAACTTGAGGGGGAGTGTTGTAACTAATTTTTTTTAGATAGTTAGGCTAACGAATTAGTTGGTTTGTTAGTCAGATGGAGTTTTTGTTATTGTGCATAAAAGACATTTGAAATATTATTCACATGAATAATAGAGAAATATTTTTCAATATTGTGAGTCCCTTTGAGATAGCTAAGTCTGTATTTCATCTGTTTGATTGGAATTGTCTTGTGAACTACAAACATGTTTCAAGAAAAAACTGATGTAGTTGCTGATCAATTATGAAGGGAGTCCAGATAAACACTGAAAAAGAAAAAAGAGGCGATTGTTGGAAAAGTAATGGATTAATTTAATTATATTGATGATAATTAAAAACAATCATATCATATGATGAACAAATTTATTAATATTAAGCCATATGACTTGCTGAATAGACTTATTAATAATAAGTCATGTTATTTAAGGACTATATTGTTTGGAACTTATAATAATAGTATTTGGGCATTCTTTTCCCCTTCCATTTTTTTCGTTAAAACATGATTTAATGTCGATTATGAAGAGGGATTTTTAATGAGTATCCATTTTCTTTCAAAAAAAATCTAAACATTAATGGATTAATGGAAAAACATGATGATCCTTCTTTCGATTATTTTTCTAAAGTATCCTTTTGACCTTGATTTAAGGTTGTTTCATCTCCAGGAACATTATATTCACTATAAACAATCTTCTAAGCAATTTGTGATTCAAGAATTGCTTTTACATGAACAAATCAACTATCATAATTGTATTTCGCAAGAAGATGATAATGAAATAGAAGCAAACATTTTTCCATAATCTAACTTTAATACTACGTTGTTGAAAAATAAAAATATATTAATTCACATAAAATAAGAAAAGAGAGAAAACATAATTAGATAACCTTTATAAAAGATTTTCTCTTTTATTTTTCGCACTTTGAATGTGTAGTACAATAGAGATAAAACATAATTAGATAACCTTTATCAAAGATTTTATCTTTTATTTTTCACGCTTTTAATGTGTAGTACAATAGGAACTAAAAGGACTTGCATAGATAATAACTTAAAGTCAACAAGTAATATTGATAAATTTTTTAATTAATAAAGTAAGTTTATGAACTCAATTAAATTCATTTTTGACCGAATTAAATTCATATTTCGATTAATTAAACTGACATATATTTAACTTATTATTAAAAAGTTAAATTAATTTTCTAACAATTGATTCGTGGTGCATATTAATCCGGCACATCATGTGACATGAAGATCGTATTTTTTCTTTCTTTTTCAACAGACTGCTCATTATATAATATTAACAATAAAAAAAAGTATTCTGAGGGGTATACATAGGTATTACAAACGGGTAGGACGGGTGCGGATACCCATTCTCTCATCCTCATACCACTTAATATTTTCGTATTCATCACTTACTTACCACTCACGACAAGTAAAATTTTTAAATTCACACCCTTCTATGCATGTAAAATCTCAAATTCACCCCACATCCACTATCTAATTGAATACCCACCACCCATCTCGTACTCACATGTACCCAATCATACCCGAGCGAGAAAACTACCTCATAGATTACATAAGCTAGTTCTAAAGATTAGAATTTGATATATAAAATATATAAAAAAAACACCGGTTTTTAATTCTAAAAAAATATATACCATAACATTTTGTTAAATTACAAGACATGTCCTATAAAATCTTAAGATTTATAGAATAATCTTCGAAATTATACCTAAATTCATAATTAATGATCCAAATCAGTGGACAGGTGGATGCGACGAGGGTAAAATCTTGAACCCATCACCTATATACTACTCACGATATATATGACTTTTTACATTCATACCCACCCAGTATCTACTAAACTTATATACATTCCCATTTCAAGGTGCGTGCAAAATCTACAAAATTATATTCATTTGTCATCCCTAGGTATATGTCTTACTTTTCTGGATTCAGGTTCTTTTTCTTCTACGTGAGCGATGATATCGATGCAACATTCACCCTTGTTTGATTGTTTGCTTTGTTTTTTTCCATCCGTTTTTTTTGGTTACCAAACATGTCGGAATTAGACCCAATATTATTTTGTTTAAAATGATGGTGATCGTTCATCAGCTTAGCATCTATAAATTTCAATCCAAAACAAAAACAGATACAGATGATCCATTGATAATTTCATAAACCATTAATGAATCACTGCAACTGTTCTTCTCTGTCTTCCTCTTCCAACAGAGGAACCTTACCACTAGATGAACAAGTCCTCTGTTCTTTTGCCTTTCCCCATATTACAGCATAAAATCCCATTGATATGACGGTTGCTCCCATAATACTGCAATATGAAGAGTCAGTAGTCCTATATATATTGCTTCTCAACTAATTCTGCTCAACATTGGTAACATGAAAAGTATGAAAATAAAGAGTTTAGAGTACCTTCCAAGATGCAGAGAATCACCAAGGATAGCACTCAAAAAAGCAGCAATGGCTATAGACAGTGGACTGAAAATTGCAATGTAGACAGGCCCTTTCAAATGAAGTCCCCATGTGAGCGCAAGTGAACTACATGATTGAAAGACACCCTGCACAATATACAAAACCATAACATCATATACCAGTAAATCACATTAGTCGGATTTGGTGTAAGTAGTCGATACAAATATGTTTCGAATACAAGTTTGTTCGCACTTTTGAAAGTTTATCGTATATTTATTGGGGTTTATCGGTATGCCTGTGCCTAAATATACATCATGCATAGGTTACAAATTGTAGTTAGTAAGTAAATTCTTACAGAGTACAGGACTGCAATAACTGCAACACTAGGCCTTAGCCTCCAAGAACTCAACTCAGATTCTGCCATTAAGGAAACTGGTACAGCTACAATCGTCCCACATAAGTTGAAAAAGAAAGCAACAACCAACTCAGCTGAATCAATCTCCATAACTTGGGTCTGGGAAGTTTCCGAAAACCCTAGGTTCAGTTCGGTTAATTTGAAGGTTTTTAACATTGTTGAAGATCCAGGGGTGTCCCGGGATAAGTATGATTTACCTGAACAATGTGCAAGATTGAAAACAATATATAGGCAACAAGAAGTAAGATCCCACCAATGACCCAATTTGGATCTGAGGATTCCAGGGGCCATTTAAGTAAACCGGGAGATGATGATGGAGAGGAAAACACTGTGGGGCCTTTGTAAAGAACAACTAGTAATGCACCCGAAATTGATGCTATGATCCCCATGATTTGAGCTTGACTGCTGGAGCTTCTCAAGGCTACTGTTTCCAATCTTGTTGATTATGGTATCAAATTCAAGGCAGAAACAATATTGTTAAATATGAAGCACAGTAAACTCAAACTTATGAACCAAAAACAAAACCAAAAATGCATTTGACTATTACCCAAATAGAAGTCAAGCTGAATTCAATAGAAATGATTTTGGTTTTATCGATTTAAGGATTAGAAGAAGGAAGAAACCTGAAAATAACAGCAAGTATGAAAGTAAAAGCTGGTGAGAGATTTTGGATTGCAGAAGCAAGAGTCGGGGAGCTATGATTTATACCCTTATAAGCGCAAACTTGAGCCGAAAACCTGCCCCCAGAGGGAAATCACAATCTTAGATCTTCAAATCTTTCTGGGAAATAATATATATATATATATATATATATCAAATCTTTTTGGGAAATAATATATTATATATATATATATATACAAGGTCACTTCTGACTTTTTCTTGGCCAAGGATAAAATTAAAAGTTGGGCCCTAATTTAAAAGAATATTAAAAAATATGCATTATAAAATTTTAATTAATTTTTATTAAAGTAAATAAATATTAATTCATTACAATATAAAAAAATATCAAAAACATATTTAAGTATATAAATACTTATAAAAAACATTGCATTCGAGCATTTCTTGATGCAAAATCATTGATGATAGTGTCAGCATCAATGTTTTCCAACATATTTTTCTCAATATATAATATAGCTAGCCCATTCAATCTTTATTGTGACATTGTTGACCTCAAGTAATTCTTCAATAATTTCAGCTTTGAAAAACTTCTTTCTGCGGATGCTACCGTTACCGGCAGTGTTAATAAGATTCGATAAGCAATTGAAACATTATGATAACAATCTCTAGCTTTAACAAACTCAAGAACTTCAAGCGCTGACATGAATACATTTGGCAAAGCCAATTGCAACACTTTCATTTCAGAAAAAAAAAATCATCTGCATCAACATCCGACAAATTATTATGAGAAAAAATAATCTTAAAATATCTATATTAGCTTCGAACCCCTTATTTCTATAGTTTTCAAAATATGACATTACACCTTCCAACTCCTTTATTGTAGTATCAATGCACATTGATTTAGATTGTAATTTCTTACTTACCGTGTTGATAGTAAATAAAATATCATACCAAATAACCATCCAAGTAAGAATTCAAAACTTTTAAAGGCACTAGCTAAACTTTCTGTTTCACTTTTTGCTTTTGCATCATTACCACAATATTCATATAATTGTAACAAAGCTAACCTTATTTTAGGAGCATGACATTTAATAGCTTTGACACTTTTAATTCGAGTTTCCCATTGAGTATCAGATAAAGATTTCACAGTTTCCGGAACATTATCACATAAAATTTTCCACCTTTTGGTAGAACTTGCAAACAATGAATATATACGTTGCACAATCCCAAAAAAAGAAATAGCTTTAACACAAGAATGTGCCATACCAGAAAGAGAAAGATTAAAATTATGACAAGCGCATGACATATATAAAGCTCTAGGATTTATTTCAAGTAATCTCTTTTGAACACCTTGGTGTTTTCCTTTCATAATAGAAACATTGTCATATCCTTGGCCCCTCACATCATCAATGTTCAACTCTAGAGATTGCAATGTATTTACTAATTCATTGAAAAGCCCCAATCTAGATGTATCATCCACTTTCAAGAACTCTAAAAAGTACTCTTCTATTTTTATTTTGTTGTTTGACATATTTACGCATCGCACTATTAGAGTCATTTGTTCTTGATGACTTACATCAGGGGTACAATCAAGAATAACAAATAAATACTTTGCCTTAAGGATGATCTTTAGAATAGAAGTTTTAATACTATGGGCCAAGAGAGAGATTAGTTCATTTTGAATGGTATGACCAAGATAATGATAATGAATATTTTCATTTTGAATACGTCTAATATGGTCTTGCATAGGTAAATCAAATTCAACAATCATTTCAATTAATCCTAAAAAGTTTCCATTATTCTCATCGTAAATTTTCTCACTAGATCCTCGAAAAGCTAAATTATTTTTAGCAATACATTTTACAACACAAACTATTCTTATTAAAACTTACCTCCAACGTTCTTTCTCTTTTGAAATTCCTTGTTGTAAATCTTTATCAAGTGTTTGATTAGTTTTTAATCTCACTCTTAATTTACTCCAAATATTCATGTTAGTCATATGCTCAATACTATTTTCATGTTGTTCGAGTCTCTCACTAAGATGCTTCCAATCATTTAATCCATCATTTGCTAAATAACTCTTATTGTTTTGCTTTGTAAACAATTTACAACAAAAACAATAAACTTTGTCCACATGTTTAGAATAGACCAACCATTTTCTATCGCTAATCTCTCCATTACTCAACTTTTTAGAAAAATAAGCATATGAAAAATGCCTAGAATTATTGGCTAAGGGAAATTTCAAATTCAATTCTCTTATAGGCCCCTTTTCAACTAAAATATCTTTAGATTTATTATCAAGATTACCCCAATTTCTAGGATCATAAATGTCCACATCAGGGACTAAGTGTTGATCAATCCCAACATCTTCAACATTAGACTCATTTTGTGCATGATTATGGACATTTAAATTAGAAATGTCACCATCTATATGATTTAGGATATCATGGTAATTTGCATCAATAACATCTAGATTGGTACAATTTGAAGAACTATCAAGATTATTTAAATTCCCAGCAATATCATTTAAATTTTCATTAGAAGACTCTCCTACTCCACTTTTAAAGAATTTATCAAGAGCTCCCTTTTGTGATTCTATTAAATCATCTATTTGTTTTCTTTTTTTCCTTTTTTCACTACCAGACAAATGCTTTTTAGGAAACATTATATAACAATGCAACTAATGTAGAAAAAAACAATTACACCTGTAAATGGCAAGATCCTTGATCGAAGTATTTATACGCCAAATTCGCAACACTGTAATGATTGAACTTAGAAGGAAGATGAAGTATCTGCATATCCACGTTTGACATTTCATATCCAAAATTTATGAAACAAAAAAGAAAATAAGTTTATCTATAATTTAGAATTATATAAAAATAAAAAGAAAAATAATTTGGAAACACGAACTTACATAGGATTTTAAAAATATCTTCAATGACTACAATTGATGATAAGTAATTGTGTTTGTGAATTGTGAGAAATATGAGAAATTGAAAATTGAGAACAATAAGAAATAAATTAATTTTACTTCAATGTTCTCCTATCATTTATAGGAAATAAAAAAAGTAACCGTTATAGGCCCTCTTGGCTCTCGCATTAACGTTATTATGATGAGAACATCCAAAAAATTTTAAACTCAACTTGCATTAATTTACACTAATATTTATGAGTCATCTTGTATTAATGTAGAAATAATATATTAATATTTATAGTAACCGTTATGGTCCTCTTGCATTATAATGAGAAAACGTTTAAAAATTTTAAACTGAACACTAATATTTATGGGGCATTTGCATTAATATAAAAAATAATATATTATAATATATGAGCCCTACTTTTAATTTAATTTATTAATATATAATAAATTAATATAAATTAAAATTATGGGCCATATATATATATATATATATGATCACATAAGAAGAGAAAATTGACAGTAAACCAATACCCAATAAGCCCAAGAAGGAAAATTCTAGCGCCGAGGTGGAATTTCAAAGGCGGAAGAACAGCTCTACTGCATTAGAAACAAACAAAATTTCGTTAGTATGGGGTAGATTATATGTGAAAACTGGATGAAAATAAGAAATAAAGATGACCTGGGAAAGAAGAAGAAGGACAAAGGGAGGAGGAGAAGGGCTCCAAGAGCATAAGAGTAAGTGATGAAGATGTAGTGGCTCATCCCCTTTGAAGTTGCTTCTTTGAATAGAATGTTTAACCCTACATTTGCGCATTCTACTCCAGCCATTGCTGTTAATGGCAGAACTTCGTTGTAACAGTACCTTCTGGCCATCCCTGAATCTCCTGCTTTTCACTGTTTTTTGAGAAGAAAAATGGGAAAGATATTTTCTAACTACAATATGCAAAAGGAATCCAGAAGAGAAATTTGTGGCACTGAATTATTGCAGGACCTGAACTCCAACGTCAACTGTTATCTTTTCCCTTTTAATTTTTTTTTTCTTTTGGTCCAATGAAATTGTATTTTTCTGATGATTTTTTTTGGGGTTGAATGTCATTTTTCTCGGCGATGTCAAACTGATGGAGATGGAATAACTTTAGGTTCCTTGTAGTGATTATGGTGCCAATGATTTCCATCCATTTTTTAAAGTTTATATATATATTTTTTTGTTATAATCTAATTTTGATTTTAATATCTTTTTTTATTTTAAAATTTAATGTAATTAATATTATTAACTGATTATATTACCGTAATTCATAAAGTGATTACAAGATAGTACATGTTTTAAAGGTTTACAAGCATTTACAATGAAAGTTCAAACAATCTTGTAATCTCAGGTACCCGAACCTGAAACCTTTTTATATAGTCTAAGGTGACTACAAAGTATTATTTGTTCAAAATCCTTTTTAATCATTAACAACGCAAACGTAGTTTTTTGAACCCGAGACTTCTAAAAGAAATAACACTCTTTTTTAACTATTGATATCATTTGATGGGTTCAAAATAGTTTTATAATTAAAAATAACTAAAAAGTAAAATTTAAATCCGGAATAAGGTGTTAATAACATTTAATCATCAAAGTAATAAAATTATCAACAAAAATACTTATTTTATATAAGGTAAAGTATGCAAATGGTCCCTCGATTATAGGATGTTCCTTTGTTGACTCCTTTAACTACTAAAAGTTACAAAATTGTCCATTGACTAAAGATACTACTTTGTTGAGTCCGTCGACTATTAAAAGTTATAACGGAGTCACTTGATTATTCATATGTTTTAGTCTCATCCTTTTTATTAAAAAAATTGTTGGTCGTCTAAGTAATACGTTAACCTACTGACTGTAATATGATAAAATTTGATCTCAGAATCTCAAACAATTATACAAGTCAAACAATTATGGTACCAGATTTTATTATATCCTACTCATCATGTTAACGTCCAGCTCAAACAACGGTTAATTTTTTTAATGTAAAAGGAAAAGTTTAAAATATATAAATAGTCAGGTGATCATTTTATAACTTTTAATAGTCGATGGACCAAACAAAGTAGCACTCTATAATTGGGTGACCATTTTATAACTTTCAATAGTATGACTCAACAAAGTAGCACTTTATAGTCGGAAAACCATTTGTATACCTTACCTTTTATATATTAATGTAATATAATTTTTAATTAATTAATACAATTAATTAAATATTCTACATAAAAAATTATTTCAAAATTCAAATATATGATGTGAATGAGCCAAAAGTTACCAATAAAAATAAGGGTAAATTAAATGCTCAGTACTTCAATTTTTTTTTTTTTGCACTGAAACTTTATTTTTTCAAAATCGTACATAATGTTTAGTTTAAGTTTCAATTTGGTACCACACTATTAAAAAATTAACAAAATTACTGATGTGATATTTTTAAATTTTTTTAATGATGATGTGACATTACCTTATGGTGACACGTCAACATCACCGTTAAGTTTTTAATGGCGTGATACCAAATAAAACATAAACTAAACGTTAGATATAGTTTTAGAAAAAGATAAAGTTTAGGTATCAAAAGAACAAAATTAATAGTTTAAATACTAAACATGTAGTTTACCCTAAAAACAATAATATAATTGGTGCATATGTCAGCGACGTGAATGAATTTGACTTGATCATATGCTATCTCCACTATATGCTCATCCATTCATCTTCAACTTGCATAAATTATTGGTACTTAAATGTTATTTTCATGAGATTGCTATATTAAATGATTTACATCCTAAAGATTCTTCTAATAAAGATCAGCATATATTAAGTATATAAATAGAGTTGTAAATTGGTTCAAGATCTATGAGAGATTATATTTTCATAAAACTTCGTTGAAGTTGAGTTAATTATTTATACTTTGAACGTGGTTAAAGATAAAAATGATAATCAAAAGCCATCTATATATTTAGAGACAAACAATTATGATAATGCAGACAATGGATGATGGGTATATATATATATATATATATATATATATATATATATATATTTGATTTCGCAATCCTTCTATATTCTATTTTTATGTAATGGATTTTCTCTTATTTGTTCGTTATTTTTTCACGAAATATTTTGTGTGTTTGTTTTTTTATTTCTTCTGATTTAATTTATGTTATTTTTTATTATCTTTCAAAATTAGTAAAATTTTGGCCAAACTTTACTCTCCTTTTCCTATATAAACCACTGTCATGCAATATCCATATACAAACCTAAATTATATACTTTGCACCCTTTGAAAACATATATTCTTCCTTCATGGCCATGAAACTCAAATCAACCCTCCCTTTCGTCCTCATTGTCTTCTTGACCTTCTGGTTACTGGTTTTCACCCTTGAAGCTCGTACTTTACCTCCAAATCATCCACGCCATGTTGTGAAGTCCGGTCGAGGAGGGCAGGGGCATTGGTATATAGTCATCTATGGTGCGCTGAATGTTTAAAGGCAAAGACCTTGAATTTGGAGGCCATTTTTAGTTTTTACTAGGGCCGTATATGTTCATAGAGGAATATCAAACACATGTGATACACGTGTCGAAATTGAATTCGAAAACCATTATTTTTCATGTTGAAATCAATGCAATGCTGTCTGAATTATGAACTATGATCTCTTGTAATCTGCAATCAAATTACCATCTCTAGAAAGCTATGTTCTATCATATACAACGAGAGCAGAAGAAAGAAAATGATGGAATACAAAGACTGAAGTGTAAATATCAGCACCTGATCTGCAAGGTATCCTCCGTTTTTCCACACGCGTGGCATCAACCATGACGCTTTTGGGCGAAAACGAACAATACCTTGCAAGTCGAGTGCCGATCTCGATAGTACGTAATAAAATTATCTTATACCAGGTAGACCATCCCAACCTCTAGTGTCGATGCATGAGGAATGCTCAAGGCATAAGTTGGTCCTCTAGAGTTTCTTCTTAAGAAATCATATCCCAAATTTATCACAATTTTCTTCATCAAACTTGATCCTTTCTTTGCTCTTACATATGAATGGCCCAGAATGAATGCCATTCCAGCCTCTCTTGCTTCCATCAGTTCCCGCAATTCCTCTTTCGCGTCAATGTCAATCTGCGGACTTTCCGGGACAACGAACCTCACTCTCTTCCTCAACCTTGAAGGGGACTTTGTCATCTTTACCTCTGAAGTGCATACAATTTCAGATGAATCTTCTTCACCATCTTCATGCATTCTTACACCTAAATTCGATGATGATGTCCCGATGACTGTCATTTTTTCGTCATTTTCTGAGTCCATTGTCTGAATACTACATTCTGGTCTCTCTGATCTGATAAATTCAGCAATGCTACAAATAAGATCTTTCTCAAACTCAAGATCATCTTTGTGAATGTCTCGATATCCGTAACGTGTTATACATCGATAGAGCCGGTATTCCTTCGGACCAACTCTTCCTACTAGGAACCTTTCCTCAGGACTCACATGTGGCACTGGAACCGATTTAATGCAAAGAAACACAACAACTTGGTGGAACGCAGGGAGGTTGGTGACAAAGTGAGAAAAAATAGCAGGAATTCCGGAAACAAGCTCGGTGTGTATAAGCCCGATCCCTCGGACCCGAACAATACCAAGAGTCGGACCTAGAGCAAGGAGCCAATTGATAGAGACCTTATTCTGAACATCAAACTCGTATTTCTTGAGTGTTCCATAGTGCCAAACATACATTATGGCTGAAAATATTAATGCAAGTGCAATGGGAACCCATGCCCCTTCAAGGAACTTGATAAGAGATGCTGAGAAATACAGTGCTTCGATGGAGCCAAAGAAGAATATAAACAATATCGCTAAGAAAACACTTTTATGCCAGCACAAGACAATAACCAGAGACATTAAACATGTTGTAACCAGCATAACCGTAATAACGGCCAAACCTGTTGAATGCAATAAGAAAATGCTGTGAGAACTGATGATAATAATGAGTATGAACTCTCAATAGCAAACAAAATCCATGGAAGATGATACCTGATGCGTTTCCCATCCGTTTTGTGTCTCGAAAACCAACAGTCACTGCCAAGCATAACAGCATTAAAGTCCAGTTGATCTCTGGGATGTAAATCTGGCCATGGATTTTGGATGAAGTGTGAATGATTTTGACCCTTGGGAAACAACCCAAAGCAGAGCATTGTTTGATGATTGAGAATGTTCCAGTAATAATGGCTTGACTTCCCACAACTGCTGCAAATATAGCTATAACCAGAACAGGCCATCTTATTTTCTCTGGTACAGAAACATAGAATCCGATGCGATAGTCAGTTTCGAGAATATGATGCCTCGAAAGATAAGCAGCTTGTCCCATATATGCAAGGATTAGAGATGGATAAACAACGAAGGTGAAAGCAATCTGCAGGTAAGTTGCACTAAGTTAGGGAAACAACAACCAAAATCAGCATTTATGAGACAAAACATGGAAATGTCATATAAGTTACCTTGATAGACAACTGTGAAAAGTGTCCAAGATCAGCAAACATAGCTTCAGAGCCTGAAAAAATAAGATCAACATTAGAACCCATGTACGACAACCATGCTCGAGACATGTTTGGATATGGGTGTATACTCGTACAATTTTCATACAATTTTGTACCTGTTATACAAAGGAGGATCCCTCCAAGCGACATCCAACCACCCTTTCGGGTCTTCTTCAAGAACTTGTACATGTAATAAGGGGAGAGAGCTTTGTAAACATGGGGATTCCAACGGAAAATATTGTAAACCCCAATGGCACTGATGCATAAAAGCCATGTTACCACCACTGGCGCAAATAAGAACCCTACTCGATTCGTCCCATAATGTTGGAGGGCAAATAATAATATCAGAATGGCACAAGCTGCTGGGACTTCAACATCTGCAGAATCATATAAACTCTGAGGTAACAGAATATTAAAGCACATAAGCAATATTTTGAGTTTGAGCTTTTGAAATTAATTGCATTAAACCTGACATCAACTTGTTAGGTTTTTTTATTAAAATTATGATTCCATGAGAGGAAGCTCAAACAAGTGCATGTCAGCCGTAAAAGAAAATGCTAGCAAACAAAGGATGTAAAGGAGACAGAAGAAAGCCCACTTGTAAAAAAGAATAAGCCAACTTCAAAAAGGAATTAAACATGATAAAGAGGAATAATAATAAGAACAATATGATCCAATCAGAGTAAAAATTTTGGGAAATCAAAGTGTTCATATATCATTCAAAAGTAAGATGATTTGATCACATTTTAAGTGGTGGCAGTCAATCAGAAAATGGTTCTGTCTATCTCAACCGAGTCACTCTTTTGAGGGTCATATTTCATATTCATGACGAGATCTGTACGAGATGAATGTTAAGCATAAATACTTTTTAAAATACTCGGAGCAAATACCGAAATATATTAGAAAGTGCTTCATGCATGATGAATAATCTCTTATGGGGAAATTTCAGTCATGTTTTCAGGTTGACTATTCCTAAAAAGGAAGTCCTGCGTGATAGGGTGATGAATGAAATACATACATATATATATATATATATATATATTCTAATATGGATAATAAATACGAGTTAGGATTCGAATCGAATTAACTAACCTATGTAGTTTTGTTTATCCCGACTCTTTTTCTTTACCAAACATACCTTTTTCTGGCCTTATAACGACAAATTAACATATGAAAATTGACACTTTTCCATAGTCATTTTTCTGATTTATAAATTTAAAACTTCTTTTCTTAACCACATGTTTCACCTTTACTTCTATTTACAAACAAAAAAGTTAATCAACTTGGCTTTCCACATAATGTATTTAAGCATAATTTAATCAAGTTTGATGGTGAATGGAGTTTTGTTAAGGCAAGGAAGCTTATGAGGGACCCCACTTTAATGCAAGACACATATCACAATTTTGATAACCCACTTAATCATTCTTGTGCGTGCACATCAAACAAAATATGGATTTGGATGAGCGGCGGGTACGAAATATCGATGTTTCACCGATGCTGCAATCAAAACATGAGAATTAGGCTTCTAATTTAAGGACTTACATCGATGTTGTTCCTTGGACATGGAAAGCTCCAGACCTGAAATTGCTGAAAAAACTGCAGAAACCCAGAAAATTCCCAGTTACTCAAGTATAAATCCAAGGAAAAATGAATGAAAACTCAGATTTTATGTTTGAAAACATACCAGAAATTGCAGGTGTGAGAACCCCATCTCCAATGACCATGCAAGTTCCAATCAAAGCCAATACAAGCAATAGCCTCTGCAATATTTTGTGTTTCTCTAAAGTTGATTTCAAACTTGAACCCAAAAGACTCCTATTATTTGATGCCATCCCATCTTTTTTGTACTCTGATAATTCCTCATCTGCAAGCTGACAATTGGGCAAAGAACTGACCCTTGCATGCCTGCAGAGCAATGAATATAAAGCAAAGGTTCCACCTTCACCATTATCATCTGCTCTAAGCACAATAAATACATATTTCAGTAATGGCATCAATGTCAATGTCCAGAACACAAATGATAAAACCCCAAAAATCTCTTCATTTGTATCAGAGTGATGAATATCCTCAGCGAAAGCACTTTTGTATACATATAAAGGGGAAGTACTCAAATCTCCATAAACAACACCTAAACTCTGATAAGCTAAACTCAACACTGTATTCCATGATTCCTTCTTCTGCAACAACAACAAAAAATAATCAATTAAGAAAAAGCTGAGATTTTGACGAGAGTAACAATTCAAAAGAACTAATCATTACCACTTGTCTTACCTTGATTGGACTCTTGGGGGTAACACCTTCACCTTCAAGATCCATCATAAACTGCTATAGAAACAATCAAAACCCATATTTTTCTAAACAAGTAAAGCAAAATTAGAGACTACCGAGTTCTTACAAGTTTAACAAAAACACCTTGATTGGTGTATATAGATCATAAGCAGGTGAAGAAGCAGGCAATGTAGATGAGTCGAGAAATAACATGAAACACCAAAATTATGGAGAGAGATAGGTATTGAAAACAAGGAAACGTGATTGGATTTACAGCTACAAGAATAAAGGAATATGACGGGCTCTAGTTTTATAGACAGAAAACAAAATAAGATGGATAGGGGAAGACAAAGAAATGGTGATTTTTGAAGATTACAAAATTGGGTTGCCTTTTGAAGCTTCCTTGTAGCTGTATTTGATATTCTAGATTGCCTAGAGTTTGTTAATGCTATAATTTTTTCATCCCCACTTATTTATTTTGGCGAAAAACAAAAGGAAAAGCATCTCAAAGTTTTTTGTTTGTTTACTGGGAAAATGAAGTGCCCACATAAACTGGGCAGTGGGCATGCACTAACTGAAATTTGACATCTTTTTTGCCCTTTTTATGAAACCCAACACTGTACACGCACTGAAATATCTGCTTCTTGAAGTTTTTAATATTTTTTATCTGATATATTTGAGTTACTGCTGATTTACACCAAGAAATGGGAACATCAGGTATCTGGGTAGCAGAAAACTATGCAGCATATATTTATCTTTACAATAATAAGATATTTAAAAAGTTTTAAAGTTCTGATTAATTTAACTCAATCCAATCATATAACGTAAGAAATTACATCAATTAGTTCAAAGATTTACACGTTAATGTTTTCCAACCACAAGTCTACAACTTCCATCGTAAAATTTATAAAGTGGAATTATATTCGAAGTTCCATAATAATCTAATGAAAGAAGAAAAAAAAGGAAATATTCCATTAATCAGTTTGATTCAACTCTGGATAACATTGAAGAAATTTGCTTTCACCAACAGAGAACAAAGTTAATGAGCAAAAACAGAACAGAAAAGAAAGTTCATAAATAGTTTGAGATTCATCAGTCCTGACATATAATATATAATTAATTAGTTCCGTCCATTTCGCTTTCTTGCATGAAACATTTTGATTAGTTTGACAATCATTTTAATTAGAAGGCACATGATAAACCACTTTAATTATTTTGATAATCATTTTCTTTATGACTTGCGAGATAAACTTTGCTCTGCACATTGTAGTAATTGTTCAGGTTTAAGGGATCATGTTTGGTTGGGTCAAATTAAATACGAGTTATGTCATGTCAATTTAATGGTTCGACTCATATTAAGTTGGGTCGTGATCGATTAAGGTTCAAATCATTTTCAGGTTGATTTTAATCAAATTCAGTTCAGATTTCAGGTCATGTTAATTTCAAGTCAAATCACTATCAGTTCACGTCAAAATAGTTTGGGTCCAAATCAGGTTAATTCAGGTTAGAATGAACTTCAAGTTGTTCCCATTCAGGCCGAGTCACATCATTGGCAAATGAAATTCAGGTCGAGTAATATCGATTTTGGGTGAACTTCAAGTCAAATCATTTTCGGGTGAATTATTTGTTGCCTTTCACGAATGTCCAATTGTAATTTGTAATTGTATACGGTTTGAAGTAAATTACAAAAAATAGAAATAATTATGAGCCAATTTTGAATAAAAAATAATTTTAGGAACTAAATTGAACAAACTAAAATTTAAATAAATTAAACAACACACATGTGTCAAATTGAAATAATTGTAAAATGCAAAGTTGAAATTTATATAAAATGGACTAAATTGCATTCATTTACAAAGTTGGTGAACAAAAGTATATAGAATTTGGAGATTATGATATAATTTATAGGGTTTAGAATGGAGTTTATGATGTGATTTATAGGGTTTGGAGTAAATTACAAAAAAATAGAAATAATTATGTCTCATTTTTGGATAAAAATATAATTATAAATTTAAATTTAAATAAATTAAACAACGCACAAAGATCAAATTGAAACGATTGTAAAATGTAAAGTTGAAATTAATATCAAAATGGACTAAATCACATTCATTTGAAAAGTTGGTGAATAAAAGTTTATGGAGTTTGGATATTATGATGTAATTTATATGGTTCGAAATAAAGTTTACGATGTGATTTATAGGGTATGGAGTAAATTACAAAAACAATTATAAGCCAATTTTGAATAAAAATATAATTTTAAGGATAAAATTGAATAAATATGAAATTACAAACTAAAATTTAAATAAATTAAACAACACACAAGGATCAAATTGAAATAATTGTAAAATATAAAGCTAAAGATTAATATAAAAATGGACTAAATTGCATTCGTTTACAAAGTTGGTGAACAAAAGTTTATGGAGTTTGGAGATTATGATAAAATTTATATGGTTTGAAATGAAGTTTACGATGTGATTTATAGTGTTTGGAGTAAATTACAAAAAAATAATTATAAGCCAATTTTGAATAAAAATATAATTTTAAGGATTAAATTGAACAAACATGAAATTACAAACAAAAATTTAAATAAATTAAACAACACACAAGGATCAAATTGAAATAATTGTAAAATGTAAAACTGAAAATTAATATCAAAATAGACTAATTGCATTCATTTACAAAGTTGGTGAATAAAAGTTTATGAGATTTGGAGATTATGATCCAATTTATAGGGTTTAAAATAGGGTTTAAAAATGAAGTTTACAATGTGATTTATAGGGTTTGAAGTAAATTACAAAAGTATAAAAATAATTATAGACCAATTTTGAATAAAAATATAATTTTAAAGACTAAATTTAACAAACATGAAATTATAAAGTGAAATTAAAATAAATTAAACAGTACACATGAATCAAATTGAAATAATTGTAAAATATACGCTGAAATTAATATCAAAATGGTCTAAATTGCATTTATTTGAAAATTGGTAAATAAAAGTTTATAGGGTTTATAGATTATGAATTTATGATATAATTCATAGGGTTTGAAGTTTATGACGTAATTTATATTGTTTGGAGAAATTACAAAAAATAGAAATAGTTATGAGTCAATTTTGAATGAAATTATACTTTTTAAGGACTAATAAATACATAATACATGTATTAATAAATAATAAATTATACATACATACATGATATATATATATATATATATCATACATATATATCATACATTAATACATACATAGATATACATATCATACATATATATGATACACACATATCATATATATCATTCATACATACATGCATGCATTAATAATATATACATACATATCATACATAATGATACATACATTAATAAATTATACATACATACATAGTACATATCATAACATATCATAACATATCATAATTAAATTTATTAATCTAGTGATCATAATTAATAATTTATTTTATATTATGAATAATTATCTTTTATTAACTTTATCAATCACAAGTTATTAATTTAATACAATTTTTGAATATATTTATAAATTATTATTTATAGATATAAAAAGTAAATATATTAATTTAATGATTATAGTTAATCATGTACCTTAAATAGTGAAGAATTATTTTTATCACATTATAATATAATAAATTCATAATCTCACAACTTCATCAATTGCAACTTACAAGTAAATACCAAGTTGAGTTAATATCAGATTAGTTCATTAACAAGCTATATCATAGGTTGAGTCAATTAAAGGTCAGGTTGATAAAATGTTATGTAATATCAGTTATTTATTAGGTTAATATCGTGTTCGAGTTCATATCATATCAAATACAGGTCGGGTTCGGTTATCACATTATCAGGTTTAATTCGAGTTCAAGTCGTTCTCAGGTTGGGCTCAAATCCAAAATTACCATGTCAAACTTGGGTTCAAGTCAACATCAGTTTGAACTCGAATAGATTTCGGATCATCACCACCTCCAGTCACAAATAGTTCTAACTCAAATCGATTTCAATCAACTTTACATGTAAGGTCAATTGTTTACACCCCTAACTCTACAACCCTAATATATGCTATTATAAGTCATATAAATTCTACATCTTGAGAAAACAATTTGAAATATCCATTCAGTAGTAATTTTGAAAATTATTTTTACAACCAAAAGTATTCATTAGAGCCCTAAAAATATTAAATAGATAGTTATTAGAGAAAATAGATAGTTGAAAAAAATCAACTCAACTGAGAAATATTCATATGAGAAATATTTGGATATATCCAAACCAATTCTAAGGCACTTAAATGCTAGTCAGGTGTTACTCTGATGTTGTGTGACCCGGTGGCGTCCTGAATACTCATGAGAAGTAAAGTGTATGTTATTGATGTTGTGTGACCCATATCTCACCTTAAGTACTTGACAACGAGGGCCTTTCTGGATAAAGATTTTGATGTTGTATAACCCATGTCTTATCTAGAGTACCTTCAGTAGGCTAGAGGGTGTGAGTCACAAATGTTGTGTGATATTGCACTACACCATGATGCTTATCTATGCTTATGTGTGTACCTAAGTTGTATGCTACAGAGGTGTGACTTCTGTGATACTGTGTGACCCCGAACTACATCATGATGCCTTTATTATTATTGATTGTGATGTTTGATATCCTTGTTGATTATAATACTTGAGGCTAGGTGAATTTTTTTTATTATAGATGATTATTATCTTACACTAAGTGACATCAAATAGCTTAAAATTAGTAAAGTGATTACGAGTATAAGACATAAAGTTATTGAATCAGTAGATGACTGATAACACACTTGATTAGGTTATAAATGAATGTTAATAATCATAATATTCATAAAATGAGAATGATATGACTTATGATGCTCTCTAGGCTAGAGGAAATACTTGTGCCTTGACGACTAGTTAGGGAAGACTTTATTATGTTTGATGCCTTTATGCTTTTATTTGATTTGTATGCTTATGTTTATGAACCCCTTAAATATAGCAGAGTAGATGTGTACTCACTAAGCTTGTTAGCTAAACTTTTCAAATGTTTACATCTACATATGACATGTCTCATGGATTGTGATGAGACAATGGTATCCTCGGATGAGTCTCAACAAAGTACTAGAGTACAGTGATGTTGACTCAATGAACATGTAGTGGTTTTGGTTGGAATTTGGGTTAAGTTGTGATATTTTAATTATGTAATTATTTATTGAATTTTTAAATAAGTAGCTCCCGTTTTCTAAAACACATGATTTTCATATTTGATTTACTATTTTAAAAGGTTTGAGTAAATGGTTTCAAAGGGGAAAAAATGATCAATCACCTCGGTGATTCCGTGTGACACTAGAATATTTGGGATTAGGGTATTACTTGTATAATTATGTCAATTTTGTTAACTATCACATCAATATTCCATTAA